CACTGTAGCATTGTAGCACTGTTGCACTGTAGCATTGTTGCACTGTAGCACTGTTGCATTGTAGCACCGTGTGCACTGTTGCGTTGTAGCACTGTTGCACTGTAGCATTGTAGCACTGTTGCACTGTTGCTCTGTAGCATTGTTGCACTGTAGCATTGTAGCACTGTTGCTCCATAGCATTGTTGCACTGTTGCATTGTTGCACTGTTGCACTGTAGTATTGTAGCATTGTTGCACTGTTGCTCTGTAGCATTGTTGCACTGTTGCTCTGTAGCATTGTTGCACTGTTGCATTGTAGCACTGTTGCATTGTAGCACTGTAGCATTGTTGCATTGTAGCACTGTAGCATTGTTGCACTGTTGCACTGTAGCATTGTTGCACTGTAGCATTGTAGCACTGTTGCATTGTAGTAGCACTGTAGCATTGTTGCACTGTTGCACTGTAGCATTGTTGCACTGTAGCATTGTAGCACTGTTGCACTGCTGCATTGTTGCACTGTTGCATTGTTGCACTGTTGCATTGTTGCACTGTTGCACTGTAGTATTGTAGCATTGTTGCACTGTTGCTCTGTAGCATTGTTGCACTGTTGCTCTGTAGCATTGTTGCACTGTAGCATTGTAGCACTGTTGCATTGTAGCACTGTAGCATTGTTGCACTGTTGCACTGTATCATTGTTGCATTGTTGCACTGTAGCATTGTTGCACTGTAGCATTGTAGCACTGTTGCATTGTAGCACTGTTGCATTGTAGCACTGTAGCATTGTTGCATTGTAGCACTGTAGCATTGTTGCACTGTTGCACTGTAGCATTGTTGCACTGTAGCATTGTAGCACTGTTGCACTGCTGCATTGTTGCACTGTTGCATTGTTGCACTGTTGCATTGTTGCACTGTTGCACTGTAGTATTGTAGCATTGTTGCACTGTTGCTCTGTAGCATTGTTGCACTGTAGTGCTGTAGCATTGTTGCACTGTTGCATTGTAGCACTGTTGCACTGTTGCATTGTAGCACTGTTGCATTGTAGCACTGTTGCACTGTTGCTCTGTAGCATTGTTGCACTGTGGCACGTAGCATTGTTGCACTGTTGCAATGTAGCACTGTTGCATTGTAGCACTGCAGCATTGTTGCATTGTAGCACTGTAGCATTGTTGCACTGTTGCACTGTAGCATTGTTGCATTGTAGCATTGTAGCACTGTTGCACTGCTGCATTGTAGCACTGTAGCACTGTAGCATTGTTGCACTGTAGTGCTGTAGCATTGTTGCACTGTTGCATTGTAGCACTGTTGCACTGTTGTATTGTAGCACTGTTGCATTGTAGCACTGTTGCACTGTTGCTCTGTAGCATTGTTGCACTGTGGCACTGTAGCATTGTTGCACTGTAGCATTGTTGCATTGTTGTACTGTAGCATTGTAGCATTATTGCATTGTAGCACTGTTGCAAGTACTGTAGCATTGTAGCATTGTTGCGCTGTAGCTTTGCTGCAATGTTGCATTTTTGCACTGTACCATTGTTGCCCTGTAGCGTTGTTGCTCTAAAGCACTGTTGCACATTATTGTTTTTTATGCAGTACATTAAAAATTCATACTCCATTATTATAATTATTTGACAAAATTATTAGCAAGTTGTTTTATTTTGTGTCTGCTTCTTTGCTTTCTTTAACTTGAGCTTCCTTAGCTTTTGGCAACAGAGGCTTTCTGCCATTCTCATGACATAATTTTGTGTAGAGATTCCTTCTTGTCACCAATCGATGAAGAAAAAATAAATGATGGTTTTTGCTCATAGAACAAACAATTTTCTTATATCTTGACAACCACACAAATGTTTGTTCACAGCACATAAAATTTAATTGTGGATGTTGCTCAAGAATTTTTGATGGGTTGTATTTAGTGATGCATACTGGGTCAGTGTGATTTTTAAAGTGGAACGTGTCAATTACCTATATAATGTAGGTCATGTATATTTTGAAATTACTTCTACTTACCTTTTGAATTGATGTCCACATTTCATCAAATGGTTTGGGTAATGGTAATGGTTTGGATGCCACAAGTAAACCATCCAATTTGCACATGGCATCATAGGCTAAAACTATATCTTTCCACTCACTCTCAGGAACTGTTTGTAAGGTATCGTAAAGCCATTGGACAACAGCAACAAATACTTGAGAGGGAGATTCTGACCTATTTCATTCAATGATACAACTGTAAGAGAGATTATTTGATACTTGTAAAGAGGTTGCCAATAATCAATGTGTCCACAGGGTCGGCAAATGAATAGATGACCTCTACTCCAGTGGCGTAGTCTGTTGCTCCTGCCTAGGTCTTTGTTACATGATGTTGAATTAGCTAATGTTGTGTCATCTAACACTGTTAGTAAGTGTGTATTTTTGCCTATATTATAATCAAAATTATGCATAGACTATATTAAAGAATAATAATGTGACTGACCCGAAACACTTGATGTTGCTGATGTATCTGTTGTCACACAATCGACTATATGATCTGAACAAGATTACTCATACCAATATGTAGGAAACAGTATAATTTACCTTCGTTAGCTTTTTTATTAACAAATTTCAAGAAATCTGTAACACCAGTTGGATACCCTCTATCTGTGGCTATTTTGCAGTGGTTTTCACAGAAAGCTGTGTAAGAATTAATAGGTTGGCTGGTGCACACATCTGGAATATTCAATGCAGGAAAATCAGGAGTAGAAACATGAACTGGGAACATGCAATGAGGAAAATTTAACTTCCAGTTACCATCAATGGTCCAACAACTACCACACGCTAATTAAAATTATATGGCATCATTAGACTATTGGTTATAATTACAAATACCTTTTTCAGTACATTCCTTGGTTGGTACATGTGGGTAGCTAATACCAACCATGTTTTCTACAACCTCTTTGAGCCTATCTTCACGATCCTGTTTTCTCAACTTTGTCCATTCAAAGCTGGTATTTGAACGATGCTCTTCTTCAAGTTCACCATTGAAAAACATGTCAGAAACGTGAACTCGGGTCAATTCATTACAAACACCTATTTATCATTATTATTAATCATAGTTTATGAATTAATAAAATACCACTTATTGGATCATTGTATTTATCTAGGTGAACATGATAATAACACTCAGCAAATGCAGAGAAGGAAGTCCAAGAATGCAAGCTAGCTTAAATATACAAGAGTAAGTGCAATGTTTATAAACAACAATATACTACCTTAAATTAACAAACCATTGATGTAGTTTACGTTCTGCATATGACACATTAGATATTTCAATCAATGGCACTTTCTCCGGATAGAGTCTTTCTCCAGAACTATGATTGCCATACCATGTGTGGTTGTAATTTGTGAAGCATTCTTTGCAGCGCAAGGAGACTTTGCTAGCTACAACTGGCCCATTTAAAGAATGCACTGTAACATTTATGTCAGAATTGTGGACAGACAGTGATCCTATAATAATAATTATATTAATAATGATAAGTTACAATAATGTGCAAGATATATTATAGTATTGTATAATTATCCTATACCTTCTGTCTTGTGTAATTTACAATGATAATTCAAGCAAGTAGAAACAGGAGGAGCGACAAATGCCATATATGCCTTCCCTGCAATTTGTGATAGCTGCTGTAAGTCCTCTTCAAAACCAGTCGTTGCTACTTCCCGCTTAAAGAAGTTAATATGTGAAGCAATATTCTGAAATTGCTGTAAATTTTGATTATTTACAACCTCTGCCTTTGCCACATGATTCACTATCCTGGTTATGTAATTTGACCTCAGATTACAAAAAGATTTTGGAACTAAATGCTCTGCCATTCGCAGTGCATCAATTCCATCTAGACCTAGTGCTGCCACAAGAAATAAAGTAGAAACAGAACAATTCTTGTCTTTATTCCCTGCCAAATCCAAATCAATAGCTCTAAAAATTTCAAGTAATAGGCACTATAGGCTAAATACCCACCTTACTTCAATATATCACCATATTGAGAGGATCTAGTGAGTAACTCTTGACATGAGGCAATAAAATCATTGTAAGCTGTTGCCAGTTTCAATTTTAATTGATCAAATTGCCTGGCATTCTCTTTTGCTTCTTCTGGATTAAATCTAAACTTCTTTGAAGCTCTCCCGGCTTTTGGCTGTAGTGATCTTTTGCCTGTGGATGTGGATGACATTATTGAGCACTTAGCTTATGGTCACGTGGTCACTCCCGATGTGCATGCGCAGTAGTGCAGTGCTGTACATGTGCGCAGTTAGTGCACACGTGAAGTCTTAAACTGATTGACTGTGATTGTAGTTGTGCCTATCTGCCTTTCTCTGAGTGTGCCACAGTAGTCTCGTGCCATAGTGACAGAAATTAAAGAACTCTCTGCAGTAACTGTGTAACACCAATCACAGAAGAGCCTTACTGAAGAACTGAACTGTTTGGCTAGTTAGGAAAGGTCAGTGAAGTGTTCATCAATGACGAAGAAGACACACATGTAGCTGTGACATTATTAGTATAACCTATGGGTAATTCTCAGCTTTGCTACAGTACTGTCACAAAGCATGCTTGATTTGTATAAGCACGAATTTGGCATCACTTTGAAATTAAATTATATTTATTTCATTTTAGCTCTTATTGCTTTGTCTGTCATGGATGATGAAACCAGCTATTTTGGCCTTGTCGAGGATCATCAGTTTCGATTTGGAGTTTGGAAGGGAGAGACGTTTTTTGCCTTAAGTAACTTTGTAGCTGATTTTGATGTTGAAGTTTATTCGGAATCTGGATCTGTATCTGGTTATATGTTTAATGTAACATACAATAACGGCAAAGTGCTAGGGTAAGCTGCATGATGAGTCACACAAGCTATGCAACAACAATGAATGTATATGCTATGTACCCAGTAAATTTAGAGGACAGAAATTTTAGCATATTTATAATACTAACACTTGTAATCGGAACCATTAATTGCATGCATAGCCTCAAAATTTCTGAATGAAACCTGCCAATGACCAAATTGCAAAATTTTACCATCGTTTTGGGATACTAGAGGGATATTTGCATTACTATATTGTTATTACAAATGAAACAATGTGCTATTATTGGCTAGCTACTGACATTTATCATATGCTAAGTCGTAATTAGGTGTAGGAGAAATTTAATATTATCCAATTTGATCTTGATATTTTAGCTGCATCTGTGGCATCCTTAATACATATTACACCAACTACCATATCATTTTTTATTATTTATCACCTACTGGCATGTTAGGGTCAATTACATACAAAAAGCATACTGTATCTCGATTATAATAACTATTACAAATGACTATTAATTTAATTACCATGACTATTACATGTTCAGAGTTTATGAAGTTAATATAAGTATGTTAAGGGCCAAATTTTATCAAAAATGACATTAAGGTAATTTCCCTTCTTTATTTCATTTTATGGTACACACATGTACCTATGTTGCATAGAAAGTTTGAGCTGATTACAATCATACTGTGACTTTTAAAATTTTATTACTAGGTATACATTGCCATCGTTACTATTATGATTACATATACATATTACCCAAAGCCTGTTAGCCTAGTTTGCTATATATTAGCATCAATATATACACATACATGTATTAATGTGTGGCACTGCATATTCAACCATTGTTCCTTTTGTTAAAAAGGCAGGATATGAAAAATGCATCAAACACTTTTTCTACCTAAGCCAATGTTGTCATAACTTATTGTTACTTGTATAGGAGCACGTACGTTTCAAGTCAGGATTCAGAGGAGAGAAGCAAATGGACTACCAGTTTGCGTAAAGGCTTAGGATTTGCTGGACTGCGGTGCAATGCCAATAATACACAATTGGGATCATATTTAATGAAAAAACTGGAAATTTCATATAGAAATGGGGATATTAAGAAAAAGAAAATGGTTGCTGTTGTAGGGAGGCAAAATGGAACAGATGAGATATGGGTCATGAATAGGCAAATTCATTTAGATAACAAAGGAGTTCAGGTAGACCCATCTGAAAGCCCTTATACTTGGAACGATGAGCTAGATGACATGGCTCCTGAATTAACAGCTGTCAGGAAGAATAAAAGTTCTGTAAGAGCACTAATAAAAGCAGTTCACAAGTCATATGGTGCAAACACTCCTGCTGTTTTGCTGACGATTGGTGCAGAAATAATCTGTTTTCATTATGATATTCTGAATGATAAGGCGTATTCAGTACCAGCAAGCATTCTGACTGGAGCAGTCAGCATTGGAAAAAGCACTGCATCACGTATTGCTTTAGCTTGTGCCGGAGCACAAAAGTCGTTTATAACATCAGCCACAGACTCCAAGATAAAGAGCGTCACTAGTAAAAGTACTCTTGGAATTGCACTTGATGATCCTAAGGATGCACAGGATATAGCTGAGAAGGTGATGCATCACTTTGACAAGGGGAAAAGTTGTTCTCAGACTCGTACTTGTATTCCTCGCTGCACTTTCATGGCATCTGTTAACAGTGAATTTTTGAAGAAATTTTCTGAACTTCATCCAAAGTTTGTTTTATAGCTAGAGTCCATTTTTCACCTGAGCCATACTTTGCTATAATTTTTTACTTACACTTACTAGATCTATTGTAAAAATAATGCATTCCTCCCTTCTTATTGCATTTATTGTGGTACATGCATTTTAGATTTAGCCATAGTTTTTAATGGTAATAGTGCTTTAAAAATGGCTGTCGCTTTTTAGCTTGGAGTTGGCTATACATGTACAACTCATACAAGAAGCATAGAATGATAAACTTTTACATTGTGTTAATTATTGGTGTAGGTAAGCTTGTAACAATTAACCAAATGGGCTCAGGTGAAACAAATTGACTAACATAGTGAAATATTATGTTGTTTAATATTAAATTAGGTACATCTCCAGAGTTTGCTTAATTCCATTTGGGAAAGACACCCATAATCTTAGCCCAGCAGAAAGATTTGAAGCTGATAGAGAATTAGCAAATGCAATGAATGTGTCCGATTCGTCTTTGCCTATTATTATCAAACTGCAATCTCAATTTGACAAGGTACTGCTACCGTATAGCGGGATATTTTCGTGGGGTCAAATTTTCGTGATTTGGGGTGGTTGAGATTTTCGTGGGTCAAATTTTCGTGATAACTGTATTATAAGAGCCTCTGGCAAAGCCAGGTGAACTTTCTCTACCTCTCTCTCGACAGCTTTAATCGTTTTGAGGGTAAGCCAAGTGTACTTTTATCAATGGAAGCTTTTTTGGAAGCGGCTTGAAGTATTTCTCCATTTCATTGCATGTGGAGCAATATGGATACTGCAACAGGACACGCCTATACCGAATATGTGCTAAATTTTCGTGCGTCAAATTTTCGTGAAAGTGTCTTGGACACGAAAATAAGACTCCACGAAAATATACCGCTATATGGTATTCATAACTTTTCCCAACAATAGCAAATCATTTTTAATATTATTTCACTGACCATAATGTAGGTACATGAATTGAAGGAAGTTATTGAGAAAGTTTCCAGTTTTCTACCCAAGGAAACAACTCAGAGGCTTCAGTTTTCCTACTCTCTTTTATTGTTTACGACATTGAAGGTATAATTATCATGATTAGTTTTGAAAAGGTGACATTATTTTTAAAAAGTTTGTAACATATCTTTATGTACCCCAATAAAAAATACAAATTGAAATGTATATACCCTAATTAAATGAATGATAAAGTAAATTTTTGGAAACATGTTCAAAATAAATGTATAATTTTCAACTTTTATTTCCAACATAATGTACATAACTATAACTAAAGTATTGCCAAAATAGTCTTAAATAATGTGTTCCACTCATCAGTTTTTAGAAAAGCTTAAAGTTAAGGAGCAATATGAACAACAACTGTGGTCTTTCTTTCAAGAACAAATGATTCCAGTTGTAACACAATACCAACTAAAGAGTGAGGCTACTAAGCCTGGTATGCAGATCAGTATGTCTTTCAGCAAAGAAGCATTTGAGCAGTTGCTACTTCAAGTGATTGATGATGACACAGGAGATATGGTATCTATAGTTTTTTGTCTTAATGATTTTTATTGTTTCATAGATTATAAAGTCCTTTCTCAGAATAGAATATAATTGTAACAAACCTTCAGCAATATCTGTATTGATGCCACACTTGACACATTTTCTGAAGAGGAAAAAAATATCCTATGATGAAAAATTTCTTGCCAAATTATCCCTTTTATACGAAGGACAATGTAGAACGAGTATACCTCGTACCTTTTTAAGCATTGACTCCACATTGACAGATATTCCTAAAGGAATTAGTGGCCGTAAAGCTGAGGGAGCTGTATACCTGAGATGCATTGAAATTAATGCCGATGCTTTATCAGAGAGAACACTGAACCATCTTGAAGAAGGTCTGCCCCAATAATTTCAATTAATGTAAATTAGCTTTTTATAGCTTTCTTAGGAACTTCTAGTGCTCTAAAAGAGTCTCAAGATAGTGTAAGAACTCCCACCAAGTGTGAAGGTATTCTACCATACATTGGAAAATGTTTGAGGGCTGTAAATGTTGTGAATTTGCTTTAAAATCAATTTCGTGGATGGAATTTTTACGAATGTATGCCTTCTGCCGTTATTGTATCGTAAAACTTTGATTTTTGTGGAATGAAATTGCAGCCCTGAAAAATTTGGCGCTATATGGTATTTTACCTTTAATGTGGTTAATTATTTTACAGAGACTCATCCCTTACACACCTCAACTCCAATTACAAAGGCTGATTGTATGTCATTATTACTTGTTCTGATGTTTATTACAACATTTCATTAGTAGACCAAGATAGTTTGTCAAATAGATCTAGCTTATCATCAGTGGCAGATGACCGTAATATCAGCGGTTAGTAATGAATTCAAGATTATTAATTTTTATAAAATACATTTATACACCACTTCTGGTGGCAAAAAATTTCTTTATATGCCTTGACAATGTGGTACTTTTTGATATTTTTAAGTCACATTTATTTAATTTACAGGTACAGTGGCATTAGTATCTGAAGAGTCTGCACAAGTGGAACAGGAGGAAACGGACTCCTTGAGATATGGTTGTGATTTGCAAAGTAAGGCAGTTGAACTAAAAATTAGTGTATAATTGATATTATGGATTTATCATAGAGTCTGGTGATTCCACACTAGCTTTCATTGAAGATAACAATATAGGACAACAAAATGAATCCTTCAGTGGTTACCGTAGTGAAAGTACAAGGAGTAAAGATGAGAAATCTCAGGGAGGAGAATGTAAGGATGCTATAGATAGAGATTTACAAGAATGCAATTGGAGTGTGTTATAGTGGGTTTCAACTTTAGTGCATGCATGCTTTTCATTCTTTTTTGTGCTTGTGTGAGAAACTCTTTTAAAGTTCACTTTAAATTCTAGGTAAAAGATCAATGAGATTAAGAACACATATTGTTGCTCTTTCTCCTAAACAGCCTGAACAGGATCATTCTGTAGCAGGTGCATGTGATACTAACATTACAATTTGTTATAATGTTTAAATTTTTTCAGTTAAAAGATCATTTCGCTTGAAAACAAGAACCACCGATGGAGCAGTACAATTTTCTTGCAGCAAAAAAACCAAATTACTCCATGAAACTTATTGCCAGCATTGTGAAGAAAAGTTTAAGAAGGGAGAGAGGCATCAGATGGTTGGATGTGATCAGTGTACGAGGTGGTACCACATGAAGTGTGTGAAGTGTGACGTAAACAAATTTTGGAAATGTGAAAAATGTAAGATAAATTTATCACAAATTTTTATAATAAGTCTTTAACATTGTAGGTTAAATAACTGATAAAGAAACTAGAAAGACATTAGTACTCCTGTTACATAACATAGGTAGTAAAAATTCTATTGTTGGGTATTAAAGTTATTACAAATGATAATTTAACATTAATTTTTCTGTAATGGCTACATTCAAGAACAAAAATTTAATCTTCAGAATGTTTTGATACTATTTCAGAAACAGTACATCAGTGCAACAATGCTACAGTGCAACAGTGCTGCAATAGCACAGTGCTACAATGCAACAGTGCAACAGTGCTAAAGTGAAACAATGCAACAGTGCCACAAAAGTACAACAATGCAACAGTGCAACAATGCAACAGTGAACCAATGCTACAGTGCAACAATGCAACAGTGCTACAATGCTACAGTGCTACAATGTAACAGTGCAACAATGCAACAGTGCAACAATGCAACAATGATACAGTGCAACAGTGCAACAATGCAACAGTGCTACAATGCAACAGTGCACTAATGCAACAGTGCAACAAAGCAACAGTGCTACAATGCTACAGTGCTACAATGCTACAGTGCAACAATGCTACAGTGCAACAATGCTCTACAGTGCAACAATGATACAGTGCTACAATGCTACAGTGCAACAATGCTACAGTGCAACAATGCAACAATGATACAGTGCAACAGTGCAACAATGCTACAGTGCAACAATGCTACAGTGCAACAATGCAACAATGCAACAAGGCTACAGTGCAACAATGATACAGTGCTACAATGCTACAGTGCAACAATGCTACAGTGCAACAATGCAACAAGGCTACAGTGCAACAAGGCTACAGTGCAACAAATGCTAAACTAATGCTGGCTGTATATGCCTAGTAATTAAAATAATGCAACATTTGCAACGTTGCATTTTTATTGCTGTAAGATTTCAATACCTAAATCTCTACACATATGGGTGGGAAAGTCAAAACCAGATATGAGCAACTTGTTAAGTTCTGTTTTAAATGATATCGAAAGATTGAATTTAATTGGTTTTGACTTTTTAGATTGTGAAGGAAAGAAGCGTATTTGTCGTATTAAGCTTCTTTTTGGTGTTTTTGACTTTGTAGCTAAAGCTAAAGTCCTAAATATGATACAGTTTAATGGTAAGTATGGCTGTCCAACCTGCCTAGATCCAGGAGTGCATCGAAACAATCGCCATTTATACCTACCAGGTTCATCGTATAGTTTGCGAACTTTAGAAGGAATCGAAAGAGCTCAAAATGAAGGTGAAAGTAGAGGTGAAATCGTCGAAGGGATAAAGGGTACTTCTGTATTACATGGCCATTTACATCTAGTTGATGCTATACCTCCTGATTATATGCATTGTGTCTTAGAAGGTGTGACTAAATCTTTATTGACTTTTTGGACTCACTCAAAATATAGTAGC